GCCGCCGCTGCACCCTCCCGCCCTGCGGTGCTGCGGGAAGACCTGGGCCCCGCGGCAGCCGCCATGGCCCGGGTGAGGGTGTGGGGCGGCTCTGAGGCCTGCTGCGGCGGAGCTGCACCTGGCGCGGGAGCGGGCCGCTGAACCCACCGCCTTTCGCAAAGGGCTAAAGCAGCTCTGAGATGGCTGCGTTCAGCTTTTAGGAATATCCCGTTATAGGGGAATGGGCTTTCTCTTCTTTAATATGATCAGTGAGCTTGCAAGCAGTTACTGTGCGTGGTTGGAGTACAGCGCATGTTCTCTCCTTTGTGGCTTCACTTCAGCTGAAGCAAGAAAAGGAAAAATTGTTGGGGGTAACTGGAATAGAAGACAAGGGACAGGAGAGTGCCATCAACACAACTGCAATTAATCCTGCAATGCATCTCTCCCACACACACTTCATAAGCATCATCCATTTTTTTTTAAAAAAGGGAAGTGATTAGATTTTTGTGTGACCTCAGTGAAATCACTTCTGCCTCATGCTTCAACTGTGAAATGAATAAAGCTAAAATGTTTCAAATCTTGGTACCTCTACCTTGTTTTGGTACTTCATTTGTTATTCAGCCTTTTGTACTATTTAAACTCTCAGTTGTAAAAAATATGCAACAATCTTGAACAAAACCCCTTACAGATAGAAAAACAGCTCTTCAGAGCTTTATTTTCCTCTGCACACAGGCTTGAGGCTACTACAGTCCTAATACTTTCCAAAATGAGAAACATCCTCTTCTGCTGTTGCCATGTTAAAATGATAACAAAAGTGGAAAAAAGCAAAGTGGGGGCAGGGTGAGAGGTATTATGTGTGCAAAGGAATTTGCAAAACTGTGTGAGAGGGGATATTTGGTCCTTAATTCAAAGCCATAGTGGCAGGAGTGGTGTGTGTTACAGTCAGATTATCAAAAGAACTCAGATCCATTCCCACCTTCTTGCTCCTCTCAAATGGAGCAAAGTTGGTTGAGCTTCTGTGCAAACAGGTCTGGGAGCTCCTCTTTCAAAAGAGAGGCCAAATAACATGCATGATTCACAACCAAAACCCAGGCAGAGTGGTTAAGAAAAGCTAAATTTATATTAAATTATCATCAATCCCTAAAATGCTGAACACAGTGGTTAAATAACTCCAGAAAGTCCAATGTCTCCAGTGAGTAACGTTAAAACCATTACACAGGAACACATGGAAATCACTGACGTTAGCTCGGGACAGGCAGGAGAGAGGTTTGCTTTTTACATAGTAAATCAGTGCTCAGAGATCATCCTCCAGTGGCCTTTCTACATTCTTAACATCCTAAGTGCAACGAGGGTCTTCTCTTCCCCAGAATGGGGAACCATGATGCACCCCCTAGGCAGCATCTCACTGGGGCTATCTCCAGGAAAAAGAAACCAATTTCTGGCCACCTCAGTGGCAGAGGAGAGGCTGTGGGACATTTTGTTGTTCCTTTTCACCATAACCATTTGAGGAAGGGAGCAGAGAGGAATTATGAATGGTTGTTAGGCTGGAGGGTGCAGGGTCCTTCCTAAGAAGCAGCAGAGAATATTTATCAAGGTGGAGATCACAAGTACCATGAGCTGTTGAAAAGACTGACTGGGTTTTCCTTTCCATTCTGCACTTGCAACTTGGACAGCAATTACTTTGACAGGCTGACTGAACCTCAAGTGACAGGTCTGGGCAGATGTTTCCCTTCACCCCTGTCCCACGTCCAGATTTTGGTGCACATTCACATAAGCTATTGGGGCACACTGCCCCCCCAAACCCAAAGAAACCCTGCTTTCCCAGAAGTCAGGGCCTTCCTCCCTCATCCACCCACTCACTCCCAGCTCTGATGCCCCTGCCCCTACACGTGGTTTCTGTTCCAAATCTATTCTTCTGCCTATGGCTTGAGCCCTCTGATGTTGCCCCTACATGAGGCACCTTAGACAGGCAAGGCCCATGTCAGTGATACCCACTCCTTTCAGTTCCCAGTTGAGTCCACACCTCAATCCAAAGGTGCCTCTGCCCAACAAAAACAATTCTTCCCAGGCTGGAGTCAATCAAATAAATAATTAAATAAAAATCTAATTAAAAAAAACCCTCTAGGAGTAGGGAGGAGTCCCACATTAACACAGGGAAATTTCCAAGCTTTAGCTCCAGTTCATTTTCCACAGGAATATACACCAGTCAGCCCAGTGGTGCAGTTATGGACAGTTTCAAGCCACCTAACCAGGTCAAAGCTGCAACCTTCCCCTTTCTGCAAAGCTACCTCTGCTGGAAAAAGTACAAGTACACCCAACCTGCTGGCTGTATCTGGATAAGGTCAGAGCAGAGGAAGATGGATTTTTTTTTTTTTTTTTTTTTTTTACCAGCTGAAAAAATATCGCACAGGAGATATACCCTCCCCGCAACTCAAAGCCATATGCCTAGTGTATGCTTTGCTCTCTTTACACCATGGGTGGGAATGTACTTGACCTCTTCCCAGGACATAAAGAGGTTACAGAGTTTGCCATGAGAAATTCTTCACTGGAAAGTTCTGCTTCTAAGTATCTGGCTTAACACTTAATATTTTACCATGATAGTATCCATACGACTTGAGGGGTTAATATAAATCTCATTTTTGAAGAAGCATCAAGAGATATTTTCTCTATCTTTTTTCCCCCTCTGAACAAACAGATGACAAGAGAAGTCAAGAGAATATGAAGAGGTGGCAATAGTCCTTGGGAGCATGCAAGCCCCAGCTCCAGATGCTGCTAGGGTGTAACTGCAAGGGTAGAATTACACCCCCTCAAGGGTAAAGGCCTTGGAGGCCAGAGAACAACTGAAGCTTATGCAGCCGATGGGAAAAATGCCTTTGCAATGAGAGCTATTTAGTGCTAACAGATGAGCTTAAAGTGCAATTCTACCTGATAAACAACTATTTAAAATGGCCCTTACAACTCCCTGATTATTGTCTCCTAGGTCAAATGGGCTCAGCCTAGTAATAAAGCAGTTCCTAACTGTCATCACTGAGCATTCCCCCCGGAAAGAGTTGACCTAGGAATTCTCTCTTTTCCCTCATTACAGTAATGAAAGGTCCTAAGGGCCAAGAGAATTTGTACCTTGCAGAATTGGGACTTAGCAGATTTTCTTTCTTTTTTTTTTTTTTTTTTTATACATCGGTTGTGCAAAGAGAAGAGTAGAATTTAGGTCTTGCTGAGATCCATTTTCTCCCATTGGCTCTGTAGAGCTAAGAACAATACCACCTCTTCTTTCCTCAAGTTCAGCAGTCTGACTCTAGTACCCACAGGGAGCAGTTCTGAAAGGGCCATTTGCTGACTCTTGTTTTTCCAGAGTAGAAACATGTTTTAACAGGAAAGTGGAGAACAGGAGCAGTGTCCACTGCCAGCAACAGACACAGTGCTCTGATTTGAGCATTCCTTAAAATTTTTACTAGCAGAGGGGAAAGTAATGTAAGTAAAGTAAAGAAAGTAAAGTGATGCACTCATGAAGTGAGTCGTGGCAGCTGTGGTTATCCTCTTTATGCCCTTAAAAGGTGACTTGATGCTGTGTCAGTGTCCCCTTCAGCCCCAAAGTATACCCCATCTATTTCAAGACCTCTCTCAAGTCAGAGACCCCTCAACACAAAGCCTCAGAGAGTGCTGCTAGTGCTGGAATGACTAGGGGAACTTCTGTGACCAGCAGCTAGCAATGAGGCAGCTCTGCTCTCTTCATGGGCATTGACCAGGAGCTGGACAGCACGGGACTTGCAGGTTGCCGGGGAACACAGAATCTGAACCAGATTTGGGCCAGAGGAGTCACTACAAGTGTTAATGTGGCAGCTTCCAGGAAAAGGAAACATATAAATAAACCACAGACAGTGAAAATGAGACAAAAAGATCTCTAGGTTCCAACCCATCCATCCTCCCACAACAGCACAGCTGCCCAAGCTCCTTGCTGAATGGCAGTCAGTCTCTGGGCCCCTCACAAGAGAGGCTGGTCTCTGTGCCCTTCCTTGCCTAGCAGGCAGTCTCCTGTCTTGTTTTTTGTGCAGAACAGAGGCTAGGGAGGGTATGAGCATTTCCAGTCACGTGTACTTTAGACCTCGCTCTCTGTGGAGGGCTTGCGTTGGTGTTTCCAGCCTGTGTCTGGGAGTGAGCCACGCCGTTCAGGAGTGGCTGCTGCTGTGTTAACACTGCTGCATTCAGACTGTTCTTCCTGTAGCAGCTGCTCAGTTTCAGTGTCATCCAGTGAACCAGAGCTAGCCTGGATAGAGACTGTGTCTGTCTTCATGCAGACATGGTCCCGGAGGATCCCTCCTCGGGAGCTCCGAATCTGCTTAAGGTCATCCCATTCGGAATCATCACTGGATAAAAGGCATATCCCCTCCACAATCTTGATCTTCTCCTTGTTGTAGCTGTGGTCAGGACCAGTCTAGGGAGCAGACAGATGAATGAAAAAAAAAACCAATACACGTATAGAAAAATATGGCAAAGAGCAAAGCAGAGCTGGAATGTAGACAGTGAAGCAGACAGAAGGCTGGACCTCCATGTAAACAGCCACTAGCTTTGACTGTCACAATGGCAGAACCCATTCTAAGTTTCCCTTCAGTTCTTCACCACCCCCAGATGAATCCTCCCTGCAAGAGCACTCATTCCAAAATCCAGGAGCTTCAAATTATGGAAGGGGAATGAGGATGAGCTGGCTCTTCTAATTCAACTACATATAATCCCTGACAGCAGGGAGTAAGAACAACACTGAGCCTAAAAAGGAAGAAAAGAAAAAAAAAAAAAAAAGGAAAGAAGGAACAGCCAGAAGACTTCATGGTAAAGGGTAAAAGTAGGCAGGGAATTGATTCTAGGTCTGCAGTATCTTTATCTCTGAGTTATTCTAGATTCATCTCTCAGGAAAGCACAGCTGGAACACCACTGTTGAGTCCAAGTCTCACAGTGATACAAGTGAAGGAGATTATAGGGAAACTGGAAATGCTCAGAGGCTAAAGGGACCAGACTGAGATTAAAGTAGTGAAATCTGTCTAACTTGGCCCACTGACAAATAAGAAGCATTAGAACATCTGATCTGTCCCTGAGGAGAAAGGGGAGGGGGTGGGGAAATATACATCTGGGTATATCTAGGAGCAGCAGAATTAAGAGAAAAGTGGAAAGGATTTAGATTCCCAGATAAATAATCCCATTTTATCCTTAGTAGATGTCCTGTCCTGTTTGGACTGGACCAAGGGATACTGCATGGGCAATTTCTTGTTTGATCTTCTCGAAGGCTTGTTGTCACTTCACATAGAGGTTTCACAATCTGACTGTACGAAGCGACAATCTGACTGTACGAAGCGACTCAGAAGAGAAACAGTTTTGACTGGGGCCCTGAACAACAACAAGCCTTCGAGAAGATCAAACAAGAAATTGCCCATGCAGTATCCCTTGGTCCAGTCCAAACAGGACAGGACATTAAAAATATATTTAGCCAAATGAATGTGCTGTTGTCACAGTCTACTGCAGAGCAGCCCTCAGCAGAAGCCAGGAGCAGGAGGAACCCCACAGGAGCTCACTCTTCTCACTAAGCCTTCTCCCTTTATAATGAGCAGACATCACGGTATGGGCTACACCTGTAGCTAACTCAGGTCAGCTGCCCTGGCTGACAAGCCTGCCTAGCATGGAGGGCCTATGATTCTATCCCAGCCAAACCAGGACAGCAGATAAGGCTAAAATGGCAGGAAAGTTTGGGAAATCTATTGGATAGTACCTTTGAAAAACAAAGCCAGAGAAAGCTCTCCTCTGCACAAGTCTGCTGCTCAAGGAACTAAGTGATCTACTAGATTATCATAAATAGCCCTACAGAAATTATCTTTTTCGAATCTCACATACTGAGTATGAATAGCCAAAGCCAAGACCAAAGGATCTGCCATAGAAAATTACCTATACTTTCTTGACATATAGTAGAGCTGGTTTAAGGACATAAAAGCAGGGGAAAAAAACAAGAAAGAGCAATTAGTATGGGACAATGCTTGAGCCACACAGCAGAGCTTGAGTGAGAGAGGCAGGGTCAAACACATAGAGTAGCGATACCTGACGTAAGGATGTGGATGGAAATCAGAAGAGGGAAGATGAGAAGCTATCTGAGTGATAAGAAAGCTTCTGAGGAGAAAACAGAGGAGAAACTAAGTGCTGCAAGATATCATATTAAACCCTCTCCATCCTGTGGCACACAGGGCAGACCTCTGCAGGGCCTTTAAAATGCTCCATTTAATAAGGGCTCCAGTTCTCTCCCTGTCCCATCCCTTCCAGGCAGTGCACAGCCAGGAGCCACATTCTGGTTACCAAATCCCTTCTGGCTGCCTGGCTCCCCTGGTGATTGTCCAAAGCAACCTTGGTGCAACAGTTACTAACCAGGACTGTGTCCAGGGAAAACAATTCTCCCTGACTCCTGTACTTTGAGGGCCAGCACCCCAATACAGGACACTGTGGGAGTGGGGAAGAAGCAGAGTGCTAAAGACAGGTCTAATTCACTACAGCTCACCAGAGAAGAAATGCTGCTGATTGATCTCCATAGGAGTCTAAGCAATTCACTGAAGCTGTCCTCCTATGTCCTAGATGTAAATGCTGACAAGCTGCAACATTTTCACATACTAAGGCCTGTAATACTCAACAGCAGCTTGAGCTGTGCTCCCACATCCTTAGTAGCAGCTCTTACCTCCTTCTTATAACACAACTGGTTGTACATGGTTGGTTTGGGAATTGCTTCAATCTTCACCTCCTGGGTAGATGTCCGATATGAGGGATTACTGTAGGTGAGGTTCCCCAAGCCAGGATCCGTGAACTTGGACTTATTATGCCTAGAAGGAGAGAGTTGTCAGAAAAGACACAGCACCCTACTGCCAGGATCCAAAGTTCCTGACTGCTCAGCGAGTGGAAAGTTCCAGCAATCTTCGCTGTCCCTCAAAGTGAGAGAATGCTGCCTTCACCTGGCTCTTCAGCTACCACTACATTCACTAGCTACCAGTTCAGCAAGGCACTGCCATGTAACCACAAAAGCTATACAGGCAGTAACTGGTGAAGCTGTTTGGCAGAAAGCACATGAGCTCACACATGTACTGAGATATGAATTATTTCACATCCCTGTCCATAACTCATAAGCTCTCTGCAGAAAATTTAGCCAATAAGGCATCAAATAACAGACTTGCATGCCCAACAGTTCAAAGTCACAGGACTCAAACCTTGCAAATAAAATCAAACACTGCTTCCAATGGAGAACAAAGTGATTGTAAATGACAATAAAAAAAGATGAAGCAGGAGCTCTTGTCTACAACCATAGGTTTTAGTGTTGGCCAGGAGGAGGGGGAAAAAGATCACTTACCTATATATGATTAAAGCAGCAATAAGCAGCAAAATAAACAAGATGCTGAGAAGACCTCCAATAATGTAGCTGACATGCAGTCCTTCTCCTGAAAGTGAACAGGAACGATAATTTATGCACGCTCCTTAACTTCCACTGGATAATACTGACCTCAGTGTAACACCTAATGCAGAGGTTTTACACCATACAGCAGTATGTAAAGTGAAATGTCATCAAGGTTTAGCAGAGGGTTTTGTTTGGCTTCATATGAAACCAAACATATGATAACCCTTCCTCCCACCCAGGCCCCAGCAAACCAAGAAGCACCAAGATCTTTGTAATGGGCTTGGATAAGGATGAGTTAGACCCCCTTGCTGACAGGTTACTTCTGCAGTGGGAAACAATTACCCTAGTCAACCACCCTCAACTAAACACAAAGGGGACAGTAAAGAAGAGGATCAGTAACATAAAGAGCCCAATGGATGAGGTATGGGATGAAAGAAAACAGAACTATTCTTCAGATCAAACTGTAATTTTGAAAAGTCTGCATATAGGCTAATGAATGTGTATGACTGATGTTCATCCTTAGACATGCTTCGCTCTGCTCAGAGGGCATTTGAGTAATTCAAGTCTGCATTTCAGAAATTTGAGTTTCAAACACTATGGACTGGAATGCCCTGGACATATCTAGAGGAACAATCCTGGTGGAGAAGAGTCAAAGAAAAGGAACTCACCCATGGTTGCCAGCACTGCCTCATTGGCATGGGTACACAAACCTCGCCTAGCATCTTTGTCAGAGCAGCTGAATGACAGAAAGACAGTTAGTTACTGAAAGTAGCATCAACAGTATCAAAGGTATCAAAAGAGAGAATGGGACAGGCTAGCACTGATATCTTTCCATTTCAAGGACAGAAGCCTTCCTTTCTCTTCTTCAGTATCCTTCTGTATCCAGAGGAGAGAGGACCATATACACATATATGTAGAAGTGTGTGCATGTATGTATTAGTTAAAGGTCTGCAATATCTTTAGATCCGAGTCATTCTAGATTCACCTCCCAGGTACACAGGTGTATACATATATCTATCACAACGCAAATTTCACTGTGAGTGCTGAAGCAAAACTCAGAACAACCTAGAGCCAGCACAAAGATCTTTCTGTCCAATACATCATACTCAACAAAGTGGAAGTTTTGCCTTGTAAATAACCCAGTCATATATTATAGAACATAATTTTTTGCTGGGCAGTAGGAATAGCAGGCTGTAGGGAATTAGCAGAAAAAAAATCTCTTAACTACCTGCATTGTAACTTAAATGTTAGAGCTGCAAAGGTTGTGTTCTGCCCCAAACAAGCTATCACTTTGTGGCCAGGGCAGAACTACTTTGTCAGATGTCTGGGTCAGGTCTGAGATGTCTCAGGGAATTAAAGCAACAAACTCCCTTCTCCTACTCTCAGAAATGAGTTCTCAAAATTAGCAGTTCAAAAATCAATCAAATAAATGACATGGCCTCAGGAGGATTTTAGCACTTCAGCACAGTCAGCCTAGACACACATTTCAATAGAACAGACAAAGAGCTCTGCACCTCTTTCTTGCCAGCTCAACAGCATTCTGCATTCTTTGTCAAGATGGTTTTCCCCATTATGAACATGAAGTCTGGAGCTAGAATAGCCTCTTTTGGCTAGGAAGAGGTACGTTTGGATGATGACAACCAGAGGGGGCTTGCACGTTGCACCTTGCACAAGCTGTGACTTTCAAACCCCAATTCCAAGAGAACAAGAGCACTTACTTTCCTTCTACTGCTTCCAGAGATGTGAGAGGTTTGGTTGTTGAGGTACCTACTCTGCCAGGTGGCGTCTGACTTCTTTCACTTACACTGGTGGGTTCAGGACCAGGAGGCACCACACCAGGAACTAGAACAACAGAGAAAAATAAGCAGGACCCAGACTTTGAGGGACAGATGAACAAGTCTGATAAGCTATACAGAGCTCCTGACATGGTCTATATGAGCAGCTTTCCCATCTCAAACCCAGTCTGTCAGCAGAAAGGACAGAAGAAGGCTCTATTGCTCTCAACCGCCTTACTTCCAGTATACGACTCTGCGTATGTTTTTATACACTGGAGAGCTTCAGATGCTCTGGTTGCCACTGCCACTGCATAAGTAGTGGCAGTGGCTCACTTACAGAAGCTACTACCCAAGTGACACTCAATAAACTCACTAGTAGAACAGGGCTGCCCATCTGGTTCATCTGGACATGCGCAGACAAAGTCAGAAGCCCTGGCAAAGCAGAGGTGAGTGCAGCCTCCATTGTTCACTCCGCAAGCATTAGTACCTGGAAGGAACAAGCAATTTTCTAAACATGTTGCAGATGACCAGGTAGGAGCTCAGAGCAACAACCTTTTTTCCTGCTCAGCCAGAGATACTTTCTAGAAATCCAGCAAGTTACTATGCTCTGGCACATGCCCTTCATCTGACTGCTAAGAAAGTGATGAAATAGCCAGACACTGGTAGAATTAGGGCAATCTTTAAAGGAGGGCACTGGAAATCATTAGACAGGAGCCCAGTCAACACAGCTGCACAGATAAAAAAAAAACCAAAGCGCTCACATTCTTCTGTTTCAACACAATGTCAGATGAACAACACAGAAAGTGACATTTGCTAATCAAAGCTGTAAAAAAATACCATTAAAAAAAAAAAAAAAAAAAAAAGAAGATGTAAAAGATATACTTGACTGAAATGTCACAGGCAGACAAGCAATGTGTCCAGGGAAAATGCATTAACAGTTTGAGTACAAGAAAGTTTGACAACCTTGCTTGACATCTACAGTAGCACAGTGGTTCCACAGTTCGTTTTGTCTACAGTTAGCATTTGCCTGAATCAAGGTCCTCCTATTTACCTGTTTGTCTCTGAGAGGAAACCACAATGATATCCATCAGTCCCTCAACATTGGCTAGGACTGTCTCTTTGTTCCGCCCAGAGTATTTGTCTACTCTCTGGATAGATTTGGTTTGCCAGTCAGTCCAGTATATCCACCTATCCTGCTGCTCAGGGAGACAGCAAAGAAAAATCACAGCCATTAGTATATTTAGCCACATAGACACAGAATACCCATAAAAAACACATCTCAGTGTCACATAAGGCCCCAAACAAAGGTCTTTTCAAACCCTTCCCCTCTTATCATAAAGATGATGATTGTCTACACCCCACAGGGGTTCCGACAAACTTTGTTAGCTCCACAGAAGAGTTAAATACCATCCCCTCAGCCATCTTAGCTTCCCCAGACTATAAGCCTTCCCTGTCCCCAAGCTCCATTGTCCAAACTCATCAACACACCAGGGAGAACAGTGGCAGCAGGAAAATCTTCTTACCTGTGTCAGAGCAAAGGGATGTGACACCTGGCTGACCAACACTTGCCGTAGCTTCCCATTGAGATCACAACTCTCTATACGATCAAGATGAGCATCCACCCAGTAAATCCTGGAGGAACAGAGAAAGAGGTGAGCCTCCATCTATACAATCCCTCTTTACTTTCTAGTCATTCATTAGCCAAGATGGATCAGACAAAAAAAACCAAAACCAAACCCTCAATGCTACTCCAATAAACCAAGCTAAGAAGGCTAAAAAAAAAAAAATTTAAAAAAAAAATCATTGCAAGTATAAGAAAATCTTTCACTGACCTCCTGGTGTCATAATCCAAAGTCAATCCATTAGGCCATCCTAGGTCAGTGTTAATCAGGATTTTACGTTCAGAGCCATCCAAGTTTGCCCGTTCAATTTTAGCAATGTGACCCCAATCTGTCCAGAAGAGGTACCTGAAAAGGCAAAAGACGAGCATAGTAAGAAAAGAATATTTCATTTAGCCTAATGAAAGTTTTTACTATGAATTTCACTTCCAGATTCTTCAGGTTCAAAAAAGATTGTGTGGTCTGTAGCTTGATTCTCCCAGCTATCTGCCAAACCTTCAAATTCACTGTCTGCCTGATCACATCTGTTACTCAGAGTCAGCCCCTTGCTGGTACCTGCAGATTCAAACAGCACATCTCTTCTTCCTCCCACAATCTCCTCTTCCAATCTGCCTCTTGCATAGCCCTTCTCTCTGCTCCACCAATACCCTATACCTACCCCTTCTTGGGAAAGACAGCAATGGCTCGGGGCTCATCCAGGCTGTTATTGATCAGCACTTTCCTGGAGCTTCCATCCAGTCTAGCTACTTCTATGGTATTGCGTCCTGTGTCTGTCCAGTAGAGGTTCCTGGCAACCCAGTCCACTGCCAGGCCATCTGTAGTCTTCAGACCCTGACCAATAACAGTTTCCATGTTGCTGCCATTCAGATCAGATCGCCTGGATGGAAATCAATGACAAATGGCAGTGAGGAACAGATAGCTCCTGGAAAGCCTTCACACCTCCATGTGTGACCCCCATCAACCACAGAGCCACTTTGTACTGCTACCTCCCCAACACCTTTTTCCCCATAGTCTCCAGCAGGTTAAACACACCTTCAGCATTTAATTCAGTGACACACATGATGCTGTGTACCAAAGACGATGTCTAAGTAGCAGCGTATTGCCAGCATCTCACTCTCCCCAGCTTATTGGCACACTCCACAGCTCACTGTGGCACAACCAGCACAAATAGCTATGTGACATGGGCACTGGCCAAGCAGATGACTAACACCCACCTGATGACATCAAGAAATACATCTGTGTAGTAAATCTTGCCATCCACACTATCATAGTCCAGAGAAATTACATTGTTCAGCTCGGGGACAGGTATGTGCACATCTGTGTGGTCACTGGTGTCCAGTGATATTCGGCGGATGGAAGCGCGGCTAGAGAAGAGTAGGTAGGTCTCTGGAGAAGAGTCACATGTCTGCTCATCTCTCTTCAGCTGGATGCCAGTGGGGCAGGCACAGGAGAAGCCAGTGGGGTGAGGCAAGCAAAGGTGGGAGCAGCCACCATTACGAACCCCACATTTATTGAAGCCTTTAGAAATACCGAAAGCACAGTTTAAGGATTGGTCCCACAGATCAAAGCTTTATTTTAAAGGCTACATACATGCACAACTTGCTAGCAGCTGAGTCCATCCTCACCACCCCAGCCTTGCTGGGAATCTACAGCTTTTCATACAAAGACTGCCTCCCCCCCCTCCAAGATTTGTGGTGGGTATGGGCATGGCTGGGCAAGGAGAACAGGAAGGCAGAGAAGTCTGGGAATCATTAGGAGCAAAATCTTGACCTGCATTCCTTGCTAATCATAGTTTTCCATGGAAAAAGGAACAGCCAGATGCTGACAGATACACACAACTGCAGTTTAGCTTTATTACTGCTGCAAATGGTAATGCTGACAGAAAGATCCAACCCTGTGGGGAAGAAGTGTGAAAACACACCAGAGGCCAGGCTGACAAAGAAGCTTCTGTTTCAACTTAGCTGCACACAGTGGCAAGTAAACAAAGGCATCAGAGGAGCCTGCTGAAAGTGCCTGACATATTAGGGTCATATCTTTTTTTTTTTTAATTGACAAAAACCTAGCATACATTTACTAGAAGGAGATAAGCCCAGAAGGCAGGCGCAGGGAGTGGGAAGAAGACAACAGGGATATGGCAGCTAGAATTTTGGTTATCTTTAAGTTATATTGTGAAGTTATACTGTCCAGACTGATGTTCTGCTGTTAGTAGCCACAGGAGAAGCAGCACAGAGTTTTCTGTAGAAGTACGTCTTGGGGAAATTCCACTGAATCAAAGCCACAGTGCAAAGCAACAACTCCCACTGAAAAGCAAGGAGGCAAGAAGGGGTCATATAGGATCCCAAAAGAGTAACATAAGGAATCTGACTCTGGCACAGAGTATGTGCATGATATATTAAGAGCAACTAAAGAAGCAGAGATTTTGTAGCGCAAAGTGGCAGACAGGGAGATGATGCCTGCAACGGCTGGGAAAAGAGTGAGTAGAACTTGAAATAAGGTTTCAGCAACTAGCTTCAGAGGAATTAGTGCCTTTTGGAGTTAAAAAAGGGAAACTGTCCAATACCAGGTAGACTCTGGTGAAGCCTAATAGGGCATGGCTCATTCAGTCCTCCTAAGAAAGCGGGTCTGCTGTGTGTGAGAATGAGCTTGTCAGTGCAATCCAGTGAAGGAAATTGGATGAAGGGAGTCAAAAGGCATGCAGTAATAAACAAACACCAGACCTATGGAGCTGGGTAAACAGGGAGAAGTGCAAAAATAATTAAACAAGAGGGAATAAGAAAAAGCCGATTTTTGAGAAGTTCCTCTACCACTCATGCTTTACACCAAAGGACTCTTTTCAATGACAGCTCTGAAGGGCTCCCCTAGTCACCACAGACACCTGCTGATTTGGGAGCAGCAGAGCAACTCACCCAGGGGCCGTGCCCTATCAACAGCTTGAATGTCCATGAGGCCAGGCAGGTTTGCCCGCACCAAGATGACATTGGCACCAGTGTCCTTGTCAGCCCTGTGAATGCTGCGAGTTTGCCAGTCAGTCCAGTAGATGTAAGAGTCCAGCAAAGTGAGGCCATAGGGATGTTGCACTGGAGACAGCAGGGTGCGGCGGTTAGCACCATTGAGATCTGCAGCCTCAATCCGCTAAAGAAAGAAGTAAATGTCAGCCCCATACTCAAAACACTGATCCTCTTGGTAGCAATTACTATAACAAGCCGGAAACAGAGCCTAAGCAAGTGACATTATTCAAGTCCACCCTCCCCATAGCCCATACTCTCAGAAAAGCTTATGTTCCCTTTGTTTTTTTTCATAGCTTGCTCAAGAGCTTCAAAACAGCCTCTAGGCTACCAAAGACCCGATGATAAACAATGCTGAAGAACGGAATCAGACCTCAGTGTGTGCATCAGCCCAGAGCAGCTGGGACCCAGCCTTATCCACTGCCAGTCCATTAGGCCAGCCCAGGTTGTTGCTGATCAACACCGCACGTCCAGAACCATCCATCCCAGAGCGTTCCAGCTTGGCATTCTCACCCCAGTCTGTCCAGTACATATACCTGGGGAAAAGCCAGCAAGTATTACAGAAACAGAAGTCAGAAGTCCTGTTCTAACCCGTAGACACCTCTTGACAACACTAACCCCATCTCATGGTATAAAGCTATTGCCCGAGGGCTGTCCAGGTTCTGCCAGACCAAGACTTTCCTCATGGAGCCATTGAGGTTGCCCACTTCAATTCGGTTTGTTCCTGTATCTGTCCAATATAACTTCCTGCCAATAGCATCCACAGCCAGCCCATCTGTAGTCAACAGACCTGAGAAAACAGAAAGGTGTACTGGTTACAGCTTAGTCAGGTACTTCTCGTACTCCCCTTGGGCACCTCATCAGGCAGTTGCTTTAGGCTTTTCTTGCCCTTCCACCGAAAATTTAAAGATTAATCTACCAGGGTATCAGAGAATCTCTCTTTTCTTGTTGTATGGAGCTGAGAGGCTCCTAGGCCAAAATCTCTCTTACCTGTGGTGATGATGTCCTCAAATTGTGAGCCATCAAGGGCAGCCCGGCTGATTTTCCGCAGAGTGCTGTCTGACCAGTAAACCTTTTCTGGATGGAAGAAAGAGAAACTTTAAAAAAGCCCACAACAAAACCAAACCAAAACCCAACAACCAAAGAGCAAAATCGTTAAAAAACAGATCTATGTCTCTGACTGCCAGCTACACCTTTCAAAACAGATCTGACTGCACAGGAATAACAGCAGCACAAGACTATCAAGATACAGTCATAAACCAGTACAAATTATCTTCTTCCAGTCCTCTCCAAAATATGTAGGAGCACTGGCACTCTGACCTTTACACAAGGCCAGAGAACATATAACACATTATCAGCTATTAGTATACAGTCCCACATCTGATCTCTCAAAATGTCCCAGAGGACATCAATCAGCTCATCTACCTTACTGTACAACAGTGGGTTTACATCCAGCACAGCATCAGATGTTTCGTATACACGAACAGCCAGAGTCTCAGATCTACCGCTGTAAAAGGCTTCAGTAGCAGGAAAGCTTTCTTAAATCCAAAATACACAGGAACTTCACTCAAAAACAGGCAGCTTTTTCCACATAGTTGGGGTTCTCTGTTTCCCTATAAGGACATTCCTTTCCTGATTAGAAAGGAATATTTGCAGCACTCACTAGAAAAAAAACCCTACCCAAATTCACAACCTACAGTAAAATCTGCACCTGGGTTTTCACTCAGACATTTAGATATGAAGTCACTTGTTGTCTTTCAAAGAGACGGATACACTAAGAAGTTTAGACCTTCATGAGGATCTACTCCAATTGCAATGGTGTTCTTCATGGTGACATTGACTGAGACGACAACATCTGCAAAGTAGGGAATATCTAGAGAGACCATCCGGATGTCCGTCCTTCTGGCAAAGATCAGAAAGCTGGTCATTCCTGCCGAGAGTTGAAAATGGACAGGTATCAGCGAGGAACAAGTTCAGTCACTTGTAGGCACTATTTGTTGAACGTTCTGGAGGTGACATCAAATTCAGTGGAAAAGCAGAAGTCTCAGGCAGATGTCAGCTTAAAAGGAGTCATAAAGATACAACAGCTTCACTGAGTGTGACTGAATGCTTATTTACGTCCAAGTTGAAAAGGAGTGCACTCATAGAAGAGTCACTTTCACTAGTTTGTGTGAGAAACTGGAATTAGGAGTCAGTTTTTCCCTGTTAAAGAGAAAAAGTGGATGTACCATGGCCTGAAGCCAAGTGCCTTCTGCAATGCTCAAAAAGAGGGTCCATGGGAGGATTGTGTACAGACCTATTAAAGAATATAGCACCCTGTAGTTAAAAAAGAATCCACCTCAAGATTAGGGCAAAAGTATGGTGAAAAATGTGACATCTGGTTTAGTTACTCAACATCAAGAAAAAAAAATTTTAAATCCAGCTATCAGTAAGTTTCTTCATAGCAATTCCCACTCAAATTGAAGGTACAGGCATCAAACAGATTTTTCAAGGGGTAAAGCAGGTAAGCACATAAAAGTAAATTTTGTTCACTAACAAGGCAGGAGCAAAATGTAGCTGTGATACAAAACTGCAATGAGGATCCTACAGAGAGGACTCACCAGGGGAGCAAGTCTTGGCATCAGATTGCAGGTTGATCCCAGTAGGGCAGGTACAGCTGTAAGCTTTTGGAAGAGGTGACAAAAGGCACAGGTGACTGCAGCCTCCATTGCTAACTTCACATGCTGTATGTACTACAGGAAAGAGGATGAGAAATCCATAAGCCAGTAGCACAAGCACAAAAAAGGGGTGCAGCAGCTATAGAAATGCATTCTAGAATGCCCTTAAATACCAAGTGAGAGTTATTCTCATGCTCTCGTATTCCACCCAGAGACTTAAGGCACTGAGGGCTGACAGACAGGTTAGCTCCTTGCAGGAGAGCTGTGCCACATACCCGAGCCTGAGCAAGCTCTCAGCAAAGTGTGGCTTGGAGCAAGCTCTGTACCTTGTGGCCTGTGCCGGTGGAAAACATGAATATCCATAAGATTCTCCAGATTGTCCTGCAGCGTTTCCCGAGCCTGCCCAGTCCTTCTATCTGCGCTCTGGATGCTTTTGGCCTGCCAGTCTGTCCAGTAGATTCTCTCGCCATAAAGAGTAAGTCCAAATGGGTGAGGCAGATTGCTCCCAATCAGCACCTAGTTGGATTACCCACAGCCCCCACAAAAAACATTACTAAGAAGTCACTAA